AATTGGGAGAAATGTCACTTTATGGTGCAAGAAGGAATAGTGCTTGTGTTGTTCGCAATCTAACACTAGCAAGTGCACTAGTATTGTAGCAAGTAATGAGTAATTTTTAAGATCAGGATATCCTCTCCACAGGGAATTTAGATTTCAAATATCAATTCACAAAATTGTAACCATTTGAGCCATACAAAAATTGAATAAGGTTTGTAACATCTAACAGCAGTAAACCAAAACAATTAAGAGTAAAGGAAACTTGCAGAAAACAGATCAATGAATGCAATGTGGGATTAGAAATGGATTGAAAGGTAGTTAGGAATTTACTTCACAAGAATGTCAATATTAATTCAATTATGCTTTTGAAAATTCAAGAACTTGATTAATTGCCAATCAGTTTCGCATATCAATAGCCAAAGGTTAATCCCTTAACTCATTGACCCTAACAAGCAACTAAACCACCCTAATCCCTTAGGTGAAGTTCAATTTCAAGTTGCATTAAGACTTAGAACCTTAAGATTGCAGAATTAGGTCTCCTTATCCCTAAGAAATCCCTAAATTCTGATTGCAAACTCAGATCAGAGATTCAAATCCAACTTCTATTGGTAAATGTTCCTCTTTGATGAACCATACGAATTTCCATTCATAGATTGCAAGAAAAGTAGAATTCACAATTCAATTAATCCAAGAACTCAAAATTCAGAAGCAAGAATCAAATCAATACATCAATTCGAGTTTCATAAACCCCTAACTACAAGAAAACTACTCAGACATGGGAGAAGAGAAAGAGAAAGAAGAAGAAGAAGAAAAACTCCAAGAAGCCATGGCTGGAAGCTCCAATCTGATTCCTCTTTGTGGAAGCTTCAAGACTTGACCCCAATCTTCTCTCCCAATCTCTCTCAACGACAATTTAACAGAAAAACGGAAAATAAAACTAAACTCCCTGAAAATCTGAGCGCATCTGGTATTTATAGAAATTCCCAAATTTGCGCGTTATCACTTTTATGAGAAATAGTAACTACACAAAAGGTTTATGGTTGCGCGTTAACACTTTTATAAGAAAAAGTGGTCACGCACAACTTTTATAAGAAAAAGTGGTCACGCACAACTTTCCTGATATTGAGAGCTCTCTGGAACTATCACTCTTGCTAATAAAAGTGTCAACGCAGACATCAAGTAGTTGCGCGTTATCACTCTTATGAATAAAAGTGACTACGCGCAACTCGCCAAGATGAAGGCTCTCTGGAACTATCACTTTCGACGACAATAGTGGTTACACAGAGCTTTCTTGATATTTTGCCTCTCTGGAACGCTCACTTTTACTGATAAAAGTGATGACGCCCAAACTTTCTTCTTCTTTGAACTCTGGAGTGATCACTTTCACTGACAATAGTGATCACGCCCAGTCTGCATTTTCTTGTTCTCGTGTTTTTGGAGTCCAGACTTGCTTGTTTCCTCTTCCTTGTCATCAAGCCTCCATTTTCATGAACCTTACTCGAATTATTCCTTCAAAAACAAGATTAAAAACTTAATTCCTAAGCAAAAATTCCACAATTGCTAAGATAACTACAATTTTAAAGAAAACTTCAATTCATTCTCTTTTTCTGAGTTTTTCTGTTTTCTTCATATATTTTTCTTTTCAAATGTGTTAAAATTATGCTAAAATATCAGTAAAAATATTGATTCATCAGCTTGGCCATAAGATTTCAATTAGAGGGATGGAGGTTAATAAAGTTAAAATAGAAGTGATTAGTAAATTACCTCCACCTGTGAATGTGAAAGGAATTAGAAGTTTCTTAGGCCATGCTGGGTTTTATAGAAGGTTCATTAAAGATTTTTCTAAAATTGCCAAACCTCTTAGTGACTTGCTTGTAAAGGATGCAACATTTTTATTTGATGAATCTTGTATGCATGCTTTTACTGTTTTAAAAGAAAAACTGATTTCTGCTCCAATTCTTGTTAAACCTGACTGGACTATACCATTTGAGCTAATGTGTGATGCAAGTGACAATGCAGTGGGTGCTGTATTAGGACAAAGAAAAGATAAAAGACTACATGTGATTTACTATGCTATTAGAGTCCTAAACCCTGCACTGATTAATTACACAACCACTGAAAAAGAGTTGCTTGTTATAGTATTTGCTTTTGATAAGTTCAGGTCTTATTTAGTAGGGTCCAAGGTTGTGGTATATACTGATTATGCTGCTCTGAAATATTTGCTTTCTAAGCAGGATGCTAAACCAAGACTGCTGAGATGGATTCTACTACTTCAAGAATTTGAGTTAGAAATTTGAGATAAGAAAGGAAAAGAGAATAGTGTTGCAGACCATATATCCAAAATTCCATTGGACACAATGCCATCAGATTACTTGGATATTAATGAAGAATTTCCTGATGAAAAGCTGCTAACTGTGGATGAATTACCTTGGTTTGCTGATATAGCAAATTTTAAGGCCACTCAACACATTCCAAAGAGAATGAATTGGCAGCAAAGAAAGAAATTTCTTCATGACAGCAAGTTCTATATTTGGGAAGATCCTCATCTATTCAAAATTGGAGTAGATGGCATTTTGAGAAGATGTACTCTACAGAAAGAACAAGCTGATATCTTATGGCATTGCCACAATTCAGATTATGGAGGTCATCATAGTGGATCAAGAACAGCTGCCAAAGTATTACAAGCTGAATTTTTTTGGCCTACATTGTTCAGAGATGCAAAAATTTATGTAGAAAACTGTGATAAATGCCAAAGAGTTGGTAACATTTCCAGAAGACATGAGATGCCTTTGAACAATATCTTGGAGGTGGAACTGTTTGATGTATGGGGAATAGACTTTATGGGACCCTTTCCAACTTCTTTTTCTCATGAATACATACTTGTGGCAGTGGATTATGTGTCTAAATGGGTGGAAGCTATACCAACCAGAACAAATGAAGCCAAAGTGGTGATTTCCTTTATAAAGAAAAACATTTTTTCAAGATTTGGAGTGCTAAGAATTCTGATTAGTGATGGAGGATTGATAAATGCTCTAAAGACTTAATCCTATATTATGATAATTGAGAGTTTTTAAGCTATTCATTGATAGAATTATAATTAATCTCATTTTATTTATGTTTCAGGAAAAAGGATCAAGGATATGAAAACCTCAAAGATGTCGAGAATTGAAGAAAGAAGAACCCAGAGATATACACGGGCAGATACACGCCCATGTATATGGTCGTGTATCTCACCGGAATGCAAAGAACAAGGAAATATTCAGCCAGAGATATACACGGGTATTGTTAAGGAATGCATCATTTGGGCCAGAGATATACACGGTCAAGGTGCATGACCATGTATATAAGCGTGTACTTCATATAAAGATTTTGAAGGCCAAGTATCACAGACCAGAAATGTACACGGCCAGATACACGGCCGTGTACATGAGCGTGTACTTGTCAGGAAAGATTTGAAGGACACCTATTAGAAAACAGAGAAGTACACGGCCAAAGTACATGGCCGTGTACTTGGGCGTGTACTTTTACGCACGTCAAAAATTTAACTTTTACGAGAACCCTAGGACAATTCCTATAAAAGGAGAACTGGTCTTGAACCTGGGAGGCAGTTTTTGGAGACAAAAGACTCAGAGACGGCAGGAGGATAGGATCAAGCGTTTTAATTCATCTCTTTTGTAATTTTAATTTCAAGATGTTTAGGTTCTAACTTTCCTTTGAGTATCTAGATGTAATGAATCCTAATTGACTAAATTTTTTGGAATTCTTCTAATGCTATTTTATGTTCTTTTCTCTTGGGTTTAATTGAGTAGTATCAATTTGCTTCTATCTTGTTTTCTTGTTTGAATTTGAGTAAAATTCCTGCATGAAATTAACATTACTCAATTAAAAAGACTTGAATGTATTTCTAGAGATAGAAAGACGTGAGTTTTCTATATTAAGATTAACCCTAATTATGGAATTCATAATGAACTTAATGCAACCTAGGGGTATTAATTAAGGAAGAGATTCCGATTAATCAACTGAGGGTTAGGAATCATTATCCTTGAGAAAGGTATTGATTTAAATTAGAATTTCCTGCAGCGATAAGGGTTTGGAAATAAGTAGTTGAAGAAGAATTTCAGTTATTTGGACACTTAGGGGGATTTACAGTCTAGATATTTGCCTTTTTCCTTTGAATACCCTTAGTTATAATTTTTTATAATTTATTTTCACAAGAATATATGTTTCTTTTAAATTATTATTCTTTTACTTTTAGCAATTTCATCAACAAAGTTTATTTTTCATATTTATTAACAATTATGCAATTAAGGAAAAATTTCTTAATAACAGTCCCTGTGGATACGACACTTGGTACTTTAATTTTAATAATATTACTCCGACAATGGGTACACTTGCCCAATATTGGCGCCGTTGCCGGGGACTGTTTAATTAGGATTCCCTTTATTACGTATTTACTAATTTTATTTATTTCTTTAGTCTTGAATTAACTTAACTATTTTGCTTTCATTCCTTTTAGGAGCTGATTTTTCTAGTGTATGATCAAAACCCGTTCTACTACACTGTCTGAAGAACTATTTGAATTTGACCCAAAGATCGAAAGAACTTTGCGAAAAATTCGGAAAGAGAGGCGACTGCTAGTACATAGGGAAAACGCACAAACCCACATGGAATGAATGGCAAACAACGAAGATCAACTAAGGACCATGTCTGATTATGCTCGTCCATCATTAACGGGGACAAAGTCTAGCATTGTCCGTCCGAATGTGCAAGGAAATTTTGAAATAAAGCCCAATGTTATTCAGATGGTTCAGCAGTTTGTTCAATTTAATGGGTTGCAAGATGAAGACCCAAACGCCCACATCGCTAATTTTCTGGATATTTGTGATACTTTCAAGATTAATGGAGCTACTGATGATGCAATCCGCTTGATGCTATTCCCATTTTCTCTCGGGAGCAGAGCAAAGCAATGATTGAACTCTCTCCTGCGAGGATCTATCACTTCATGGGAGGCTATGGCAGAAAAATTCTTGGCAAAATATTTTCCTCCCGCTAAAACTGCCAAGATGAGGAATGATATCTCTTCCTTCTACCAGTTAGAGACAGAGACGTTATACGATACGTGGGAGAGGTTCGAGGAATTGTTGCGGAAATGCCCACATCATGGGATTCCGGACTGGCTTCAAGTGCAAACCTTCTACAATGGATTAAACCCAGCCACAAGACAAATGATAGATGCTGCAGCTGGGGGCACTTTGAATAGCAAGACACCAAGGGCAGCACAAGAACTGTTTGAAGAAATGGCAATGAACAGCTATCAGTGGAGCTCCACTCGATCCAAACCTGCAAAATCGGCGGGGATCTATAGTCTTGATGCAGTGACATCTTTGGCAATACAAGTTCAAGCCTTAGGGAAGAAGATTGATGGTTTATCTGTTAACCATCCAGTTGCTCCAAGGATGAGATGTGATGTTTGTGGAGGAGGCCACCCTAATCATGAATGTCGAGCTACTCAGGAAGAACATGCCAATGTGATAGGAAACAGACCACCGTACCAAAATTATAATGGCATGAATAATCTGGGCTGGAGGAACTATGCAAACCCACCGTGGAACAACAATCAACAACCAATGCGGAACAACACACCCTCAGGGTTTCAACAAGCTCCACATCAACCACCACTCCCAGCTGAAAAGAAGTCAAACCTTGAGGAGCTGATGACCAAATTCATTCAAACTTCAGAATCTTGGTTTCTATCCACTGAGACAGCACTAAGAAATCAACAAGCATCAATCCATAATCTGGAAAATCAGTTGGGTCAAATCTCTAGACTCCTCTCAGAAAGACCCCAAGGGAGCCTACCTAGCAATACTGAAACAAATCCTAAGGAGCAGGTGAAGGCAATAACATTAAGGAGCGGCAAAACATTGCAAGAAAGGGGAAAGCAAGATGCAGAAAAAGCTACAATTGAAGAGGAGGGTAAAGTTCAAGAGGAGACTGAAGAAAAATCCCCTACAGTGAAAGAATTCATACCTCCACTCCCCTACCCAGCAAGATTGAAGAAGGATAGGGATGATAAACAGTTTGGTAAATTTCTTTCCTTATTTCGTCAGCTTCATATAAATTTACCGTTTGTGGATGTCTTGGCACAGATGCCCAAGTATGCCAAATTTCTGAAGGATCTACTGTCCAACAAGAAGAAATTGGAGGAGTTGGCCACAGTAACTCTGAATGAAGAATGCTCAGCAATTCTGCAAAACAAGATGCCCGAAAAATTGAAAGATCCAGGGAGTTTTACTCTTCCTTGTCTCATTGGTAGATTGATAGTTGATAGGGCTTTAGATGATTTAGGTGCTAGCATTAATTTGATGCCATATTCTATTTTTAAGAAATTGGGTTTAGGGGAACCTAGGCCAACTAGGATGAGTATTCAACTAGCTGATAGGTCAATTAAATATCCTAAAGGTATCATTAAGGATGTGCTTGTAAAAGTGGACAAATTTATTTTTCCCGTCGATTTTGTGATTCTTGATATGGATGAGGGCACTGAGGTCCCCTTAATCTTAGGTCGTCCATTTTTAGCTACTGCAAAAGCCATAATTGATGTGAGTGATGGGAAGTTAATTTTAAGAGTTGGAGACGAAGAAGTAACTTTCAAAATTCCTGAAGTAATGAAAAAATCCCTGAAACAAGATGATTCATGTTTCTTTATTAATGTAATTGATAACCTTGTTTCTGATTTTACACAGGAATTCTTGATCTCAGACCCGTTGGAAAGAAGCTTGATGCATGAAGAAGGAAAAGATAATATGGGCCTGCTAACTCAAGAACAGTGGTATCATCTGGAAGCCACTAAACCATTATTGAGAAAGAGGAACTTTGAAGCTCTGGAACAAAATTCAGAGGAGCAGCCCAGCCCAGCCACTAACAAACCACCAGAAGTAGAACTAAAGGTTCTACCTGAACATCTAGAGTATGCTTTCTTGGAAGACGGTTGCAAGTTACCCGTCATCATCGCTTCAAAACTAACACAAGAACAAGAAGGCCAGCTACTGAATGTGCTCCGAGAGCACAAGAAAGCAATAGCATGGAGAATCTCTGACATTAGAGGGAGTAGTCCTTCTTTTGCACTCACAAAATTTTGATGGAGTCTGACTTTAAGGCCGTAGTGCAACCACAAAGAAGACTAAACCCAAACATGAAAGAAGTGGTGAAAGCGGAAGTGATCAAGCTACTGGATGCCGGTGCAAGTCTTTCCAAAGAAAGGGGGGATGACTGTAGTTTCCAATGAGAAGAATAAGTTGGTCCCTACTAGAACTGTCACTGGGTGGAGGGTTTGTATTGATTACTGGAAGCTGAATGACGCGACAAGGAAAGACCACTTTCCTCTCCCATTCATTGACCAGATGCTCGAGCGTCTCTTAGGCCATATGTTTTATTGCTTCCTGGATGGCCTCTCTGGATATTTTCAAATTCCAATAGCACCAGAAGATCAAGAGAAAACTACTTTCACATGCCTATACGGAACATTTGCTTATCGTCGGATGCCATTCGGATTATGTAATGCACCGGCAACTTTTCAACGGTGTATGATGGCTATATTCGACGAGATGGTAGAGGATATCATGGAGATATTCATGGATGACTTTTCAGTCTTCGGTGATTCATTCTCCCATTGCCTACAGAATTTGTCAAGAGTGCTTTAAAGATGTGAAGAAACTAATTTGGTGCTTAATTGGGAAAAATGTTATTTTATAGTACAAGAGGGCATTGTACTTGGTCATAAAATCTCCTGCAAGGGAATTGAGGTGGATAAAGCAAAAATTAACACAATCAAAAAGCTAGCACCCCCTACATCTATCAAAGCAATTCGGAGCTTCTTAGGCCACGCAGGCTTCTACAGGAGGTTTATCAAGGACTTCTCAAAAATCACCAAACCTCTGACCAAGCTCTTAGAAAATGAGAACTCCTTTAATTTTGATGAGGAGTGCTTAAGTGCTTTTGAGCTACTAAAGGGAAAGATGACCCAAGCCCCTATTTTATGCGGTTTGGATTGGAATTATCCATTCAAATTAATGTACGATGCAAGCGACTATGCTGTAGGAGCTGTGCTTGGCCAGAGAAAAGACAAGCATTTTCAACCCATTTATTATGCTAGCAAGACCCTAACAAGTTCCCAAGAGAATTACACTACGACAAAAAAAGAATTATTAGCTGTGGTGTTTGCGTTTGATAAATTTCACCAATATTTAATTTTTTCTAAAGTGATAGTATATACAGATCATTCTGCATTGCGTTATTTGCTAAATAAAAGTGATGCAAAGCTGAGACTAATGAGATGGGTCTTGTTACTGCAGGAATTCGACTTGGAAATCAAGGATAAAAAGGGTTCAGAGAATTTAGCTGCTGATCACTTGTCAAGGTTGAAGAATCCCAGCATAGAGAAATTGGAAGAAGGAAGCATAAATGACAAGTTTCCAGAAGAACATCTGTACAATGTGGTAACTGCTTCCGATTTTTCTTTACCATGGTTTGCGGATTTTGCTAATTATTTGGTTGCTAAGGTTCTACAACAAGATTTTTCAAGTAAACAAAAGAAGAAATTCTTTTGTGACTTAAAATACTACTTTTGGGAGGACCCATATTTGTTTTGAATTTGTGTAGACCAGGTTATTAGAAGATGTGTGCCACACTCTGAAGGATGGAAAATTCTAGGACACTGTCACACTGGCCCTGCTGGAGGACATCATTCTGGGACTAGGACAGCTAAAAAGGTGCTAGATTCTGGATTTTACTGGCCCTCTATCTTTGAAGATGCTCACAGGTATGTTGAGTTGTGCGATAATTGGCAGAGGTCAGGTAATATCTCTCAAAGGAATGAAATGCCTCAGAATTACATCTTAACGTGTGAAATTTTTTATGTTTGGGGGATAGATTTTATGGGACCCTTTCCTAGTTCAAAAGGGAATAAATATATTTTAGTGGCTATTGATTATTTGTCAAAATGGGTAGAGGCACAATCATTACCTACTAATGATGCAAGAGTAGTCACTAGGTTCCTCAAAAAGCTACTTTCACGATTTGGCACACCAAGAGCTTTAATAAGTGATAGGGGTACACATTTCTGCAATACGCAACTAGAAAAAGTTTTGAATAAATATGGAGTCACCCATAGAATTGCTACCCTATACCATCCTCAAACGAGTGGCCAAGTTGAGGTAGCTAATAGGGAGTTAAAAAGAGTATTAGAAAAGACAGTAGAAAGGAATAGGAAAGACTGGCCTGACAGATTAGATGATGCCTTATGGGCTATCAGGACAGCTTTTAAAACTCCCATAGGCACTACACCATATAGACTTGTATTTGGAAAAGCCTGTCATCTCCCAGTGGAATTAGAACATAAGGCATTCTGGGCAATTAAATCTCTAAATATGGATCTTGATCATGCAGGAAACCAGCGATTGATGCAATTGAATGAGCTGGAATAGTGGCGCATGGAGGCCTACAAAAACTCCAGGATCTACAAGGAGAGGATGAAAGTATATCATGATAGAAATATCAAGGGAGGTAAACAATTCAAAAAGGGTGATTTAGTATTGTTATACAATTCTCGCCTCAAATTATTCCCAGGTAAACTCAAATCCCATTGGTCTGGGCCATTTATGGTTCATGAAGTCTTTCCTTATGGTACAGTAGAATTAACATATCAAGAGAAGGGAAACTTTAAGGTAAATGGACACAGGCTAAAACTGTGCCAGGGAGGTCAAATTCAAACATTTGAGAATGAGGAGTTCAAACTCCTCCATGTTGAATGCTGAATCACACTGAGTAGTTTAGGTTAGGTAGGTTTAGTTTGTTTTAATCTAGTTAATTATTTGTTTAGGTTAGGAAGTTTTAGTTTACTATAATTTAGTTGGTGTTTGGTTCAATTGTTTTCCAATTATTCATAATAATAATAATAATGAAAATAAAAAAAATTAATTGAAGGAAATAATAAAAGAAAGTTGGGCAGTGAGATACACGGTCAACTACATGGCCATGTATATGGCCGTGTACTTTTGTTTCCAGATATTTATCTTGTACAGAGATGTACACGGCTAGATACACGGCCGTGTACTTCTATTGTACTTAGGCAAGGTTGGGCAGGGTTTTACACACCAAGTTTTTGGCGTCGTTGCCAGGGATGCTAGTGCTGCAGTTTAGTTTAGCTTAAATTTAGGATAGAAACAGTTTTTGAGTTTTCTTTTACTTATGTTATTTTTAGGATTTATATTACCTTTGTCTCTTTACTAATTCTGTTCTTTATTGCATCATTTTGATAGTTCTTTCTTCTTGTCATTCTGAATTGAGTAAAATTTTCCTATAAATCATTTTTGATCAGGTTTCCTTTCCAAGTCAATCTCAGATTAGTTTTGCTTCCCAAGATTCTTTGCTTATATACTTACTCTTCAGGGAAGTTTCAGTTGCACTTTAATTTTTATATTTGATTGAGGACAATGCAAATCTTACAATGAGGGGTGGATAATTATAGATGTTTAAACTGAATTGTTGTTTTATTTTTTAGCAATACTGAGTCAATTTTACTGTTGCATAGAAGATGATATTCCTGAAAATAAAAATAAAAACAAAAATAAAGATTCATATGCAGTTATTCTAAATATTGGATTTGTGTTTTTGATTGTTTCTCGATTGAAGTATCGGTAGATTTTTCTGATTTGAGGACCTTGAATCTATGAAATTATTTTTTTTTAAGAATCGTTAATATCTGAAAAATTGGGGCTCTGCTCAGAAATAAAAGAGCATGCCATAGAAGCATAACTAGTTGATTGCAGGCAATGTCCGGATACCACATCCTAGAACCCCGAAATTGTTTAAGGTACCGATGTGGAAAGCAAGGGGTGGAATTTTCCATTAATACCTTGTGCTAATTGGGATGGAACATAAAATGCACCCTATTAGCCGATCATGGCTCAAAGTAAAGAAAATTAAATAACACCTTGTGGAAGAATTCAAAGTTTTGAATTAAAATTTTAAGAGCTAATGGTAGAGAGGTCCTTATTTTAGTTCTGTTTGAAGTTATAGAGGTCAAGAGCAAAAGAAAGCACAATTTGATGTTTAAGAATTACTTTCCCTCTAAAAATAAAATAAAATAAAAATAATAATAAGAAAAGTTCAGGAATTTGATTCTTTGTTGTCAAGGGTAAAATTGATCCATTCCTTTGCTTGGAGACAAGCAAAAGTTCAAGTTCGGGAGAATTTGATAAATGCTCTAGAGACTTAATCCTATATTATGATAATTGAGAGTTTTTAAGCTATTCATTGATAGATATTATAATTAATCTCATTTTATTTATGTTTCAGGAAAAAGGATCAAGGATATGAAAACCTCAAAGATGTCGGGAATTGAAGAAAGAAGAACCCAAAGATATACACGGGCAGATACACGCCCGTGTATATGGTCGTGTATCTCACTGGAATGCAAAGAATAAGGAAATATTCAGCCAGAGATATACACGGGCAGATACACGCCCGTGTATATGAGCGTGTACATCACTGGTGTTGTCAAGGAATGCATCATTTGGGCCAGAGATATACACGGTCAAGGTGCATGACCATGTATATAAACGTGTACTTCATATAAAGATTTTGAAGGCCAAGTATCACAGACTAGAAATGTACACGGCCAGATACACGGCTGTGTACATGAGCGTGTACTTGTCAGGAAAGATTTGAAGGACACCTATTAGAAAACAGAGAAGTACACGGCCAAAGTACATGGCCGTGTACTTGGGCGTGCACTTTTACGCGCGTCAGAAATTTAACTTTTGCGAGAACCCTAGGACAATTCCTATAAAAGGAGAACTGGTCTTGAACCTGGGAGGCAGTTTTTGGAGACAAAAGACTCAGAGACGGAAGGATTTAATTCATCTCTTTTGTAATTTTAATTTCAAGATGTTTAGGTTCTAACTTTCCTTTGAGTATCTAGATGTAATGAATCCTAATTGACTAAATTTTTTGGAATTCTTCTAATGTTATTTTATGTTCTTTTCTCTTGGGTTTAATTGAGTAGTATCAATTTGCTTCTATCTTGTTTTCTTGTTTGAATTTGAGTAAAATTCCTGCATGAAATTAACATTACTCAATT